GGTGCAGCCATAGGGGAGAGCCGGTCTCACACTCGCACTGGGTGCTGGGGAGCTGACAGACCTGAGGAACCAACGTGGAAGGCCGCCCACGCCCTTACGAACCCTGTCACTCTGCCCAGCACTTCTCAGCAATCGAGAACGCCTCTGGCTTCAGACTGTCTCTGCCTCGAGGCTCTGATTGCTGTCCCCTGTGCAAGGCCGCTCAGTTCAAACAACAGGTTCTGCAGCTCAGGAGAGCCCAGGGCAGCTCCAAACTGTCCTTCAGTCTGTGGGCAACACACGCTCCCCCACAGCAGCCTAAACACATGCTCCCCCACAGGAGCACTCTGCCCAGAACCAAATACCCTGCTCGGAGGAGATGGAGAAGGGACAGCCAAGGGCCTGAGGAAAGGCAGGATGAAGGCCTGATGCAAATAGCAATGAAGGACACTTTCTGAGGAGACTTGCTTAATATCCTTGTTCCACTGCAGGGTGGAATCTGGAGCCTGCTTATGAGAAACAGCACCACTAAAGGGGGAAGAAAGAGGCTGAAATCAGCCTCAAGCATTAACTTGATGCTGCAGCAGAGGAAACTGACTTTCTCCTCTCCTGTTTGCAGCTATTTTCCTGTCTCCCTCCTCACAGCATAGAGAGGACCCATTCTAGTCCCATTCCCCCCCAGCTTTGAAATCGCTCCCACCTCGATGGTCTGGGGGCTGTTCCCTCGCACAGCATAGTGGAAAACAGTCTCCCCGTTCCTGTCAGTAATGTCCACCCGCGCGTGGCACTCCAGCAGCTCCAGCAGGCACTCCATGTCTCCCTTGCGGCACGCCAGGTGCAGCGGGGTGCAGCCATCCTCGCTGTCCGTGCTGTTCACGCAGCTGCAAGAGATGAGTCAACGTGAGGCCAAGGAAGGGCTACAAAGACAATTTGCAGCTGCCCTGGGAGCTGATACGAAGGTACCTTCCACATCTGCAACAGGTCCCGCTAGTGCGAACCACGAGGTTCACAAAAGCCCGGCCTCTTGCCAGGGAAGGAGCACAGGGAAGGGCCACCAAGAAGCCCTGCCACGGACCCTCTCCCTGACACGCTGCTCCTTCCTCTGCCCCCCATATGGGAGCAGCTCCCCCTGCCCAAAGGAAGGCAGGAGACAGGTTACAGTCAGCAACCTGGCGGAGGTGCTGCCATTAGTCTCCCAGTCCCCTAACTCCTCACTAGTCTCCCCTATCCTCAATGAACTTCCCCATAAAAAGAGAGCAAGGGCTTGTAGCCAAAAACCGTTCCCAGACAGTCCTATTGTACCGCCTCTCTCGTGGTTTACAAAGTCAGCCACAACCCCCTCCAAAAAGCAGCTCCACAAGGGTTGCAAGAATCTAACTAGTGCCTCTAGCAAAACACTTCAATCCTTTAGCTCAACCACCAGCGCTCCGGGCTTTAACGTCCACAGCAGCAGGTTGAAAGCCCACCAATAAGCTTCCACAGCGACCATCGCACTCCCTTTGCTACCACATCTGTCATTCAGGCAAGACACACCAAGGCCGGCACTTTTAAACTCGACCTCTGCAGTAACCACAGGCGTTAAGCTCCCCCAAGAAGCAGCCCCTGTTGCTTTGGTACATCAAGCCGGGATACCCTAATCTGGCCTAGCCTGCCCCCCGAGCTCGTTCCCAGCACCAGGCCCACCGGAGACCCCTCCCGCCCCTTGCCTCAGAACGTGGTTGTGCCGGAAGCTCTCACGATGGCCTATCTCCACCGCGACATGTGCCAAGGACCAGCTGGGGTGGTTGCGGAAGCAGTCACTGAGCTGCTGGAGATCCTCCAGCGACAAGGGCTGGCGCGAGCTCTCGTAGAAAGGGTGCAGCTGCCTGGCATACTGCTCAAAATGCATCAGGGCATCTGCTTCATTGTCCAGCTGGAAGAGCCTGGTGGAAAGGCAAACGCAGCGTTGGTCCTGCTCAAAGAAACCACCTCCATCCCATGTATCTGAAGAGAAACAGCTCTTCTTCAAACATTAGTGCTGGGCACCTTCCCATTCCTCCTCATCCGGTGTCATGCTTGTTCCAAGGGAAGAAAGGAGCCTACTTCATTAGCAGAGAGCATCTCCTCTTCCTGAGGAACATTAACTTTTGGGCTGAAGTATCCTGTGCTCCCAATGCTAAAGCAGCAACAGGTACGAATGGAAGTGCACGTATCTGTGGATGTTCTGACCCGAATACCTATTTCACAGTTGCCTGTTTTCACAGTGTTTGGACCCCATCCTGCCCTGTTCTCACAAGCTGCTTTGATGACGACTTCTCCACCAGCACACCCAAGGGTCTCCCACTCTTCATGAGCCCACCTGCTGATCAAACACATCACCCCACGCCCACGAAGCACTGCGGTCCTGAGATCTGAGACTTCGGGTCTTTAGTTTCACGCTTGAGTAGTGATTGCTAAAGATCCGTTACTTACCGGAAAGCGACCTGCGGACTCTGGGGATTCACCAGCAGGCAATCCCATGAGCGAGCATGGCTGTTCTTATACAGGGCCACCCTGCCTTCCTCCCTCAGGCACGTATGAGCGGCATACTCCGCAGCCGGCACCTCCTTCACCCGGTAAGGGTTTGTGAATATTTGGGTGACGCTGTTGATGGTATTCACCAGCCGACCGAAGAACTGCATCTTCTCTGGAGACTCGGGCGGCTTCTCCCCCCGCGTCCTGAGGGAAACCCGGTCACAGGCTCCGCCCGGCCCGGCCCCTGCCCTTCCCTGAACTCAGCCACCCGGCGCCAGGAAAGGAGAACCGAGAGCCGCCGGGGTGACACACCACCCGGGAGGAAAGCCCGGGGAAACAGCCCCCCTCCGCCGAGGCGGCTCCAGGGAGCCGCCGAACTCTGACCTCCCTCCCGCACCCCGCCGCCGCGGCGGCGGGAAACACCCCCCTCCACGGTCCACGG